GGTCTACACATAACACTTTATATCATCTCGCATGCGTGGCCAATAGTAGATTGACTCAACCAAGTCCCTAGTGCGACGTTAGCCTGGATGACCAGCCCATATTGTGTCATGACTCTCCCTTATGATCCGTCGTCTAATGTCTCCAAACATAGGTACGTAGACCCGCCGACCTGTGGCAAGAAGTAGGCCGTCTTCAACCCAAAAATGTCTTGTATTGCCCTGGTTGGCTAACTCAATAAGTTGTTTGGCTACTGGATCATGTTGCATACTTTCTTTTATTGCCTCACGAATGTCCCATCTTGTTGAAGTGATTGCAACAAGCTCGGTTTTCCGAATCAAGGCATCGGCTACAATGTTACCTTTGCCCGACTTATACTCCAGCACATAATCAAATTCGGTCAAGAAATCCTTCCACCTAGCATGTTTGGGTGTGAGCTTCTTCTGTGTCTCAAAGTAGCTAGTAGCTACATTGTCGGTCTTGACCACGAACCTCGACTCGAGAAAATAGTGTCTCCATGTACGAAGGCAATGCACAATGGCAGTCAGTTCTTTCTCTTGCACTGTGTAACGCCACTCCGTCTCATTTAACTTGCAGCTCTCAAATGCTATGGGATGTTTATCCTACATTAGGACACCCCAATGGCAAAGTATGAGGCATCTGTATGCACCTCAAATGTCTTGGCAAAGTCAGGTAACGGCAGGACTGGCTCCTCTGTTACAACTGTCTTGAGGCCTTCAAACGCCCTTTGACAATGCTTCGTCCAAACCCATAGCTTGTTATTCTTTAGTAACTCGGTCAATGGTGTGGCCTTTGATGGGTAGCTACTGATGATCCGACGATAGTAGTTAACAAGGCCAAGGAAGGATCTCAACTCAGTTACCTTTATAGGTGCCTCTCACTCCTAGATAGCACATACCTTAGCCTCGTCCATGCGTAGCTCGCCATTGCTAATAACATGGCCTAAAAAGTGCACCTTTGATTGTATAAACTCGCATTTCTCCCTTTTGATGTATAGCTTGTTCTCCCGCAAGACTTGGTAAACCTTCCTTAATTACTTCATATTCTCCTCCAATGTGTTGTTGTAGATGACTATGTCGTCTAGGTAGACTACCACAAACTGATCAAGGTAGGGATGAAATATCTTGTTCATAAGGGTGCAAAATGTGATGGGTGCATTGGTTAAGCCGAAAGGCATCACCAACCACTCAAAGGCTCCATATCTCGTCACACATATAGTCTTCGACTCATCCCCTTCTGCAATACGAACCTGGTATTAGCCCTTGCGAAGATCCACCTTGGTAAAGTACTTGGCTTGCTCAAATCTATCGAACAAGTCAGTAATGAGTAGGATCGGGTACTTATTCTTCAATGTGGCCTTATTAAGTGCACGGTAGTCTATGCATAAGCGCAACGATCCATCCTTCTTATTCTGGAATAATACCGGTGTGCCAAAATGTGCCTTTGATGGGCGAATGTGACTAGCATCTAGCATCTCTTTCAATTGTTTCCTGAGCTCCTTTAGCTTGGGCGATGCCATAAGATATGGGGGAAATGCGGGTGGCTAAGCCCCGGGCTCCAACTCAATCTTGTGATCCACTTCTCGCCTAGGTGGCAAGTGCTTAGGCAACTCCTAGGGCATGACATCTTTGTTTTCCTCAAGCAACTTCTCTATGCAAGGCGACAATGTCTCTTGAAAACTCTTATCTTCCTCCAGACTTGCGATGGTTGCCACGAACGTCGGCTCCCCCTTATTGATCCCCTTAACAACCTGCATAGCTGAGAGTTGTGCTTGGATCTGTCCGTGTGTCATAGTCACTGTAGGTACCATGCAAGCTCCTTCTCGTTCCATAACCAAGAGATGTTGGAGGTAGGGATCGATCAAAGTATGACAATGTCTAAAGAACTCTTGCCCCAATATGATGTCAAAGATATCCATAGCGGTTATGGTAAAGTTTGTCATACCTTTCCAAGTTCCCAATTTGACACCAACTCCATTAGCTACCCCACGAGCATTTTGTACCTCGGCATTCACAGTCTTAACGCGAGAGTTGGTTGGAGCAAGCTTTAATTATAGTCTCTTTGCAGTAGCCGCAGTCACGAAATTATGAATTGCTCCACTATCCACCATTGCACGAGCAGGCTTGTTGTTGATGGTGAGATTCACGTACTGATTTCTATTCTCGATAGGTTAGATAGATTGCTTCGTGACAGCACCGCATAATCCGATCATACCCAGCTATGCGGTTCTTGAACTCTCTTCTTGTGGTTTCTCCTTCCGTTCACGGACCATGGCGCTGAGGATCTTTAGGTCGGGACAATTCTTGAAGTTGTGCGGCCCTCCGCATATGTAACATCCCTTCTTCTCGGCCTGTGCCTTCTTCTCGGCGTAGCCCTGACGGCCACTCGACGTTTTGGAATCTTGAGTTTTGTAGTATTGTTGTTGTATCTCCTTGACTTTGCCATGGTCTCCCCCACCTTTGACATTGTTAAACTATGATTCTTTGCCTTTGTCATGCTTTTCATGCCTGAAATCCATCAATGATTCAGCCTCCACTATGGCTTGGTCTATATTTGTGACATGTCGGTGTTGTATCTCCTGCTTAGCCCAATTTTGCAACCCGTCCATGAAGTGGAACAACAAGTCATCGTTGGTCAGGTTGGGGATTTGAATAATAAGGGTAGTGAACTCCTTGACATAGACACGTATGCTCCCTATTTGCTTCAATTCCCATGTTTGCGCCTTGCCTCATACAAGACATTGTTTGGAAAGAACTGTCGCTTGAACTCGACTTTAAACAGATCCCACATGCTAATAGTACATATACCTTTATCCACGCCGGTCATCTTCCTTCTCTATCATAGCAAGGTATTCTCTAAGAGGTACAACACTGCAGTGTTGATCATGGCCTCGTCGTCCCTCACTTTGTCGTGCCTGAAGTAGTTCTCCAAGTGCCAAAGGAAGTTTTTCACTTCTTGTGCATCATGAACACTTTTGAACATCGGGGTTTGAGAGCCTCGATCTTGGGATCCCTCATCACCACAACATTGTTGGCTGCCTCGGTCATACCAACACTAACATTCTCCTCGAGTGACTCTATCTTTTCCTTCATAGCATCGATAGTACCCAAAGCCTCCACGAGTCTGCATTCTAAGGCAGTGATGGTTTGCCTTAGTTCCATCTCAGTCTGTGTACACCCCTCCAAGTCATTTCGGATACTCTCAATCTCTTCAAGATTATGCCCCTCAAGAACGCTAAGGGTCTACATTCCCAAGCGTTGGCCAAAGATCACCACGTCGTCCATCCCCGCGTTCATCTTCATCACCCACTCTTTACCGAGTGAGATGCCCTCGGCAGGACCTCCACTCCATCCTCGCTCACCTTAGTGGCAGATGGTTCTTGGGATGTGAGCCCTTCGTTTGACACAACCTCGGGTAGCACCTCATGGCTCTTGTTGGTGGCATTCCTCTTTTTGTTATGGCCACTCTTGCCAGCAGCATCTTGGATGACATTGGCTTGGGTGTTGGCAGCGTTAATTTCTCTGTCGTTTGCCATTCCCTTAGTTGCAACCTTTGCTCTGATACCACGTTGTCACGTCCTTACTCGTTAACTAAGTACACGTGCGACACTTGACAACTCGCTCACGATCTTGCATAACTTGCCCACGTTCTTGCTATGCCAAGTCAGCCTTACTACACTCAAGATCGCTAAGAGAATGGTAGAAACAATACAAGAGAATTATTAAAGGAAGTTTTGTATTAGAGAAAACTTGAATTGTTTGCTTGGTGAAATACAAATGAATGCTCCCTCCCCCCCTCCTCCTCCCTCCCCTCCCCCATTTATATACTAGTCTCCTAGGGGCTAGTGTGTAAATATTAATTGTTATACAAGTCCTTAATATTTATAAGATAAGGGCTTTCTCTAGAATTCTTTACAAGCTTAAAAGATTCTAAGGATTTTCCTAGCAAATCCATAGGGATCTAAGGTCTTCCAAAGGAAAATGTCTATACTTCTCTAGAATCTTCTCACAAATGCTATTTTTTCTCCTATGTAAGCTTCCACGTGGCATTAATATATGCTAAATGGCGCCTATGTGGCATGATGACATGTAGGGTCATCACAAATAAGTCAATGTTACACCAAAAACCAAATGAAGTGTACTTTTTCTATATTTCTAATAGTTTAAGGGTTAAAATTGAGCCACTATTTAATAGCACTGGGTCAATATTGCACCAAAACAAAACAAGGGTACTTTTGCTATATTTCCAATAGCTTAAGTGGAAAAATTGAGCCACTATTTAACAGCACCGGGTCAATATTGCACCGAAAATAAAAAAGAAGGGTACTTTTCTATATTTCCAATAGTTTAAGGGTTAAAATTGAGCCACTATTTTAATAGCACTGGGTCAATATTGCACCAAAAATCAAACAAGGGTACTTTTGCTATATTTTCAATAGTTTAAGGGGCAAAATTGAGCAACTATTTTAACAGCACTGGGTCAATATTGCACCAAAAATAAAAATAAGGGTACTTTTCTATATTTCCAATACGTTAAGGGTTAAAATTGAGCCACTATTTTAACAGCAATGGGTCAATATTGCACCAAAAACCAAATAGTGTGTACTTTTTCTATATTTTCAATAGCTTAATGGGCAAAATGGAGCAACTATTTTAACAGCACTGGGTCAATATTGCACCGAAAACAAATAGAAGGGTACTTTTCTATATTTCCAATAGTTTAAGGGACAAATGGAGCAACTATTTTAACAGGACTGGGTCAATATTGCACCAAAAACCAAATAGAGGGTACTTTGTCTATATTTCCAATAGTTTAAGGGGCAAAATTGAGCAACTATTTTAACAGCACTGGATCAATATTGAAACAAAAGCCAAACTAAGGGTACTTTTGTTCCATTTCCAGTAGTGTAGGTATATATTTCAAAAACGTGGTGCAAATATATTTTTAATACGAGGTACTTTTTCGTTTTCTCTATTTTTCTTTCCGTTTCTTTTTCCGCTAATACCTGCTCTCTCTCTCTCTCTTTCTCTCTCTCTCTCATACATACACACACAGAGGCAGGCATTCTGGTTCTTTCTCTTTTCCCTGTTTGAAGATCACAGTTTGGATCTTTTTTGTCAAGGTAATTGTATATATAGTTTAGAATCTATTTCTGTTTTTATTTTCTGTATAAATAAAAAAAAAATCAGAGTTTTGCAATTTGTATACTGTTTTGTTTTTTTTTTTTTTAATTTTCAGATTGTCGAATCAAATATTCAGTCTTTAAATCCTAAACGAACATAAATTTTTAAAAAATCCAACCTTTGGTTCCAGGTTTTTGCAATTTGTTTAGTAAAGCTTCAAACTTGGTGGCCTGCTGGGTCTTGCAATTTATTTTTTATTTTACCCCTTGCTGATTTTATGTGGATTTAGCTTTTTTAAAGAACTGAGGATTCATATCGCCGACCAAACAAAAGTTTGAGATTGTAGTGGAAGTATTATATGTGTATTGACCCACCCATTTTAGCCCAATTAAATTTGACCCGTTTATTTTCGTATCCGCCTATTTGACACCCCTAGGTGTAAGTTAAAAACGGTTGAGATATGTATATATGCGATAGAAAAGGAAAAGAAGAAAAAGGACTGTTCTCATTTATCTGCCGATGATTAGGGAGGTATATAAGTCTTTGAAAATGATAGTATTTGAATACTTTGGCTTATTCGATTTTTACATGTGTATGATGATGATATGAGTTGAGCTTAAATGACGTAGTCATGATTCATATAACCGATTCTAACTTGTTTGGGACTAAGGTATAGTAGTTATTGTTGTTGTATTCAATTTTTACATGTGAGTTGAGTGACATATCTGTCTGTTCCATACTACAAAAAAGGGAAAAATTATGTGAATCACTGACAGACTATGAATGTGGAAGTCATGATATTCCTAGTTGGGGGTGGTGTTGAGCTAATATGTGACTAAACTGCAGAACTAGGTGGAAAGATGCAATTCAAACGTGTTCCAGGGTAGCTAAATGTGCAGTTATATTCACACACACACACACTCGCATAATCTGACAATTGTTTCTTAACCATTCACTAGCACCACATTTTATATTAACGTGTTGAGTCAATTGTTTCAGGCTAGCAATGCAATGTTTGAATGCAGATGATTGATCAAACACCTTTTAGTACTTACTAACCAGCTGAAACCATGACCATTAGGATTATCAGATCCTTTTTCACGTCATTTTCCAATCCCGCTACTCTAATTCCAAATCCAAGTCGCCGCTATTTTTGCACTAACCCAACAGTTGCAAAACGGATATCCCAATATCAATATCCTCTACAATTCCAAGAAAGTTCCCCCCAAAGAAATCTCATTGCGGTGTCTAGTCTTCTTAAAAGATATGGTTTTCCAGCTCTAGAACTTACGAATTTTCTCGAGAAGAATTGTCGTTTACTAAATCTAAACCCCATCAAAATAGAAAAATCTCTAAAGATTCTATTATCCTTGAAACCATCTCAAGAATTCCTTGTGTCCGTGATAAATAGTTGCCCCAGGGTTCTAGAATATGATGCTATAAAGAAATGGGAAGGAGGCATCCAAGGATTAGAAGAGGGATCCAATTTATCCTCCTTGGCTGTGCGGAATATTCTGGAGGTCTCGGTGAAGTTTGAACTAGATTATGATTGTGTTTTGGGGTCTCTGAGATGCCTCAAAGATTTAGGGGTTAGTGATATTACTGTAAATAAGGTTTTGGAGACACATCCCATGGTAACTATGATGGCTGCAGACAAGATTCATGACTGTTTTGAATTCGTCGTTGATGCCTTTAGGATTGACAAGGTTGGATTTGATCGCATTCTCTGCGTCTATCCAGGTGTTTTGGCCTTTGGGATTCAAAATAAGTTTAAGCGATTGCTTGATGAATTTAAAGTTCTGGGCTTTAACATGGAGGTGATCAAGAAACATGTCCTAAGAGATCCTAGAATTCTTGCATTGGAAGTTGGGGAATTATCGCGGTGTTTGGAGCTGCTTAAGAGTTTGAAATGTAGGGAATCTATTAAGGAGGATATTTTTCATGAGGGAGCTTTTAAGGCTGGGTACGAGGTGAAACTAAGGGTTGATTGCTTACGCAGTCATGGGTTAAACTTAAGGGACGCTTATGCTGTGGTATGGAAAGAGCCCAGAGTGATACTTTATTGTGTAGAGGATGTTGAGAAGAAGATTCAGTTTTTAGTGCACGTGATGAAAGTTGATATTCAATGTCTTGTTGACGTTCCAGAGTACCTGGGGGTGAATTTTGAGAAACATATTCTACCAAGATTCGAGGTAATTGACAATTTAAGATCAATAGGTGGACTTGGTGATGAGGTGGGATTGAGGGAGTTGATTAAACCTAGTAGAATGAAATTTTATAACTTATATGTCAAGCCTTATCCAGAGTGTGAAACAATATATGGAAGATTTGCAAGAAATGCTGAAGTGAGAAGTCAACATCCAGTGGGAATGTGGAAGCTTTTCAAACCACAAAATAATCCAAAGTCCAAAGAAGATATTATGAACATTAAGTCGTATATGGATTCGTTGGCGTGAGTTCTGGATCCTTCCTCTAAATTCTACCTGAAAATAGATCTATGTAGCATTCTCTTGGAAGATCCTTTTCTAAGGTATGTTTCCCATCCTTATTCATATGCTTTTCCTTAATGCCGTTGTGGTGTGATGTTCTGTTTTGTAGTTGCAATTTTTCTACAATCCCTTTAGTTTTATAAATTTCTTTGTAATGTTTTTTAAAGATGAAGTAAGTAACATTGATAAGGCATCAAGAAGATGCAGATTTGCTGGGAGGTAAATAGGAGCATTTTTTTAGCTGGCTATGTGCCTCTTTTGGCTCCTGTATAATACTGCCACTAACATCATCAGATAAACCTGCGCAGGCTCGTTCATATCCTCTCTTTCAGAATTAGAACCGAATACAAAACCGCTGTTCTTTGTTTCCAAAGTTTTTAGTTCTGTAGTCTTAAAAACTTGGAATTTTGATAGGTCTATATACTTGTCATATCCATCATTTGGTTCCAAGTTTAAGTAGAATATATCAATCTTTCAATTCTGTTGCAAAATAATTTTTAAGGAGGTGACATGGTTTTTACATCAAATATAGAACATACCCACATACTACTCGTTACAACTCATTTTAGCATCAGCAAGGGTTGTGTTTTTATGTTTTTTTCTAGCTATACTCCTTTTTCAACTGGTACTTGTAACATTTTCCATTTCCGCATTTAATTATTCTTACCACAAAAGGACTTTTTAAAAAAATAAATAAGGAACAATACTTTATTCGAAAGGATTAACTGTGAAAAGTTAACTGCTCTTGTCCATTAAAAGGATTAGATGTGCTTTCTCATTCAATTATTAGTTTTTTCTTCTTGTTTATCATAATATTTGTTCTTCTTCTCGTCCCAGTCTTTGCCGCAGCTGAAAGAGGGATCAAGATGTGCATGATATAATGTTTGCTTGTTAGACCCTTCGGGGTTGCCCAGTTGGTTTGGAGGGCTGGATGACTTGGGATCGAGTCCCCCTCAATGCCTTCTGGGTTGAGCTTGTCGCACATAGCTTGCCTAGTGCGGATTACCTCCCCTGTGTGGTTTACAGGCTATTACACAGGGGGAGGTTTACCCAGTGCACACCAAGTGTAGCGGCTGCGGGTTTCCCTCTTAACAAAAAAAAAAATAATGTTTGCTTGTTTTGGCTGGGTGAATATCAGTTGAACATCAAGCTGGAAGTTGGGAATGGTGCTAAGATCAAATTCTGGGATGATAATTGGCTGCATTCAGAGAAACTTAAAGTTAATTTCGCCGTTCTTTATTGCACCACAGTGAACAAGAATTGCTTTGTCGCTAATTGTTACAATGAAACAGGGTAGCAGCTATAGTTCAGCAGGAATTTCAACGACTGGGAAATTTCAACGATAGAAGACTAAAGCACCAACAGAAGTTGTGCTTGTGTTGGATGGGTGGCTTCAAGAAATGCATACTTAACACAAGATTTTCTTCAGAAGAGAGGCTTTGTAAAGTGCAGCTGGTGTTTCTTGTGTGAAAAAGGCTGTAGAGTCGACCGATCCATTTATTACTTCATCGTGAATTTTCTTGGCAGGTTTGATCAGTAATTTTATGTCTGTTTGGGGTGCAATGGTCATGCCAATGTACAGGGTCTACTCTTAAGTTGGCAAGCACAGTTGGCTGGGAATATGAAAAGATTTGGAGAACAGCCCCTATATGCATTATGTGGAACATTTGGCTACAGAGAAATAGAAGATGTTCTGATGAGGGCATAGGATTCATCTGTGTTGTTATAATAGATACTAGGATTTATTTAATGTAAATACATTGTTTTCTTCATTGTGTTTATTATATACAGTATATAGTTTAAATTTTAGAATTGAGACGCAGTAGAATGTTGTATGTATAATGTTAACTTAAATATAGTGTTATATATGTATTTCTGCACCTGTTGTTAACGAGTTGCAGAAAATTCGTAGAAATTCTGCCTCTTTCAACGAAAATCTGACCAGTCCATATAATTTTCTAGTTTAATGCTTTGCATTTCTATAAACAAAAACATCAAAAGTGGTTATAAAACAATAGGAGTAGATAACATAACAGAGAAATAAATTGTAATGTAGAGAAAGTAAGTCTGGAGATTATTATGTAATGTAGAGCATAATGAGAGGTCTCAACCTTCAGCAAATTGAAGATTAACAAAACAGTAACAAATTCCGGAAACAAAGAAGTGCAGAAAAAAGAATCAAGTTTAACATGGGTAGCAATGTACCAAGAAATTGCATATGAGTTCATGTTATCATGTCTATTAACACAAATCGCAGGGGGCAGCTCGTAGGTCCTTTAGCTTATAAGAACTATATCTGAAAAATGTGATTCCATAAGTTTTGTTTTGTACATCTTCTTGAAGTACTGTTCTGTACAATTCCTGGGCAACTTGAAATAACGAACTATGTGAGCTTCTCCCGTTAACTTTATATATTGCGGTTTACATGTTTTGCTGTAATCCTGGAGCTCTTAGATACGACTTATGGTACACGTTCTAGGACCCGTTGTAGAGCCCTTTTTATTCCTTCTTGATCAAGTGATGTTGTCAGTTGTATTTCTTGCACCTGATCATAAATGATCATTTTAGACTGGAAAAGGCGGCGTGGGTTGTAGAAGGGGGAAAACGTGAGGTGAAAGATGATACCTGTCTTCCAGCCCGAGCAAGTAGAGTAAACTGATCTCCAGAAGCTGGTGCCTGTCGGATGCCATAACAGAGAAGATTGGAAATCTATTGTGCATAAATACTGTGAATCACATTTGGTTTATGTTTGACACAACTTACATTCGACAACCAAAGCTGTAAATCCTGTGAAACGACTCGCTTCTCAAATCCTTGTCGAGTAATTGTCACATCATATATGCTATTGAACAAAAACACACAACTTTGTCAGATTTGCTTCAATAATCAAGTGAAAACTGTCGTGTATAATTATTCGATGTGCTAAATTAGTGCAGATAATGGTATATATACAAGGAAGAGCATGAATGAAGAATCAAAATATAGGCCAATTTAATAAAAGAGATGTTTTTAACGAAGCTTCCTGAGAGTTACTCCTATGGGATAAGAGATTTACATCTATGATTGTTTGGAGAAATGATGAAGCCATAGTGTTCATTCAAGTTCTAAACATCAGATCCGATGTTACCAAATGATTCGTTTATGTCAAGTCCTCGTCCAACTTAGACCACCACGCTTGTTTATAGTGGTAATGTCAAGGGACCATATCATGGTCTTAATGAGAAGTGGTATCGCTTATGGATTCATCTTCAATTTCCATAACATGGCACGAGCACTTACAAGGATTCACGTCGTAGCAATGGAGTTGAAGTTTTCTAATTAATCTCTAGGTCTCTAAATTTTATTTTCAAATGATGAATTAATCAGCTCATAACCTCACTACGGAAGATGAGCAAATACTTACCAAGACATTCGAGAACAAAAGGAGACAATTTGTAATAGATTTATGAACAGAAAACCGTTCAAGCAAATAGGTCTAATAACATCATCATATAATAGCCTAATGAAAGACTTAATGCCAAGAATTAAACTTCAAACATACCCATCCTCTTGCATTAGTTCTTCAATTATTGTTTCAAGCCCTGGAAGAGGCTCAATAACAAAGTTGCCATCCGAATCCAAGGAATTAGTGTCGACGGATGCTTCCTGCAAAGTGTTGTAATTCATCAGTAACAGTATTACGCAGCTAGAGAAAAAATTTAGATTTCAAGAAGGAGGCGACACCAAAATTCTATCATTTGCACATCTCACCTTATGAATTACTTTGTCCAGAGTTTCCAGCAATGGATCTTCCTCCAACTGTTTAATTGACAAAGTAATCCTAGATTTTTCTCTGCAATGTGTTCATGTATTGTGAAATTGAAAGAGACCGGGCGAGAAAATAAAGGAATTAAAATCAATCACTGCCTTCGAATTCAATCATATGGCAGACGCGGTACACATCTCAGCCTATCAAGTTCTATCTCAGCAGGCGATATTGTTTAAAGAAAACGTTTGCTAGCAGTACTAGACGACACACCTACGTAAGCATCATCATGATAAAATACCTGTCTATATTTATGATTTTGACCCTCACATCATCACCTTCTGTAAGGATGTCTCTCACATCATGAACTAAATCCCAAGAAACTTCCGAGACGTGGACAAGCCCGGTAAGGTGATATGATCCTGCATCACATAGTAGATAAGAATTACTCCTAGTTGATTCGAAGATTGACATAAGTACCGGAATAGTCAGGCTTAAAATGTATCCAGACGGGAAGTCTGTCTCTTATGAAAAAGTACCATCTGGGAAGCGCAGATGAACAAAAGCACCATAATCCTCTACTGAACCGACCCTCGCTTGGAAAATGTCACCTACATTAATTTGATTAGAAAACTTCAACCAGCTAGCGTCCTTTTCAGAGAATATCAACCTTCTTTTGTCCTCATCAGCTTGGATTACCTGACAGCAGACTAAAGGTTAACTGATATTTGAATCGTAAAGGAAAGTCAAGATAAAGAAACTAACTCCAAGAACACAACAAGATTTTCTTAAATACTATGACTAATGGAAGGAAAGAACTACGTTATCGAAATGGATTATGAATGGATCCAGAAACAGCAAAAGAATCATGGCACAGTAAGTTTAACTGTGAAAAAGGTTCCATTTTTACATCATGCTTGAACTTAGGCAACTGTGCAAGTTACAAGTAGCTATCCTATGTGAGATTCACGAAAAGGAAATATTAGCTTCTTGGAACTTTGCAAAATTCTGCAAACCTTAAGCACTAGAGATTATAATGTGGCATCTAAATTCTAAGTTCCAAATCTTCAAGATGCATTAAGTTCAAACCGAGGGATATTTTACAAGGGCAATGAGCATGCTTTAGATGAGAAGAAGCTCAAGAATAGTATTTAAGTGGTTAACATTAGTACCTTCACGGAGAGGACAGAACCGGTCAAGTCTCTTGCTATCTCTTGAATGGTCTTTTGTGGTTCTACAAAGTAAGGGAAATAAGTAAGATAAACAAAACTTTAGGAATTAAATCTTGACTAGAAGATAAAATGTTCTCCTAAGCTTATGATTCCCTTGAAAATGACATACAATTGAAGATGCCAAACATTTTAAAACGATTATCAAGGTTGAAAGTAGTACCTTTACAAGAGTAATAAGGGCTCATCTGCGGAAAGGGTAGAAAACCCACAAGAGAATAAAATCGAATCAACAAACCACCACCATTGAAGCCTTCAACCTTGCCCTCATATATCTGTCCCCTCTCACGGTATGTCTTTGCTGCTTTCCAATCAGCAGACTTCTAATTCTTTGTAGTAAAGGAGAACTACATTACATACACTTCAAACCACAATAATCTAATGGGAGTATAGAACAAGGTAATGTAAAGCATTGAATCAACTCAGTCAACAAACGAAAAGAAATCCAATTAAAATCTTTCAAATATATTCATTATGTATACGGCATATATCAGGATCTCACTTGACTGTTGCATAAGCAATAGGGTATTGTGGCCAATGGACATAATCATGTCGTAAACAACACTACTTGGATAGCTCAAGCGCTTAACCAACAAAAACTTATCTGAACCATGATAAAGCTGGGACTTTTAACCACTTAACTCCACTGTTGAATTTGACAAAATGTTTGTCCCACATCGGTGGGAAAACAAAAGTTGGGGGGATTTT